GCTGGGATTTGTGGAGCAAGCTGGGGCTCTGCAGGCCAAGTGAGTCCAGGTGGTGGCATATCTGAGTGTCCACTGTATCTGTGACTGGTGAGTGGCAGGGAGCCCCAACACAAAAGGCAAGGTTCAGCTCCCAGCTGACCCCACTGGAGCCTTTGGGAAGCAGTCTGATTTGTTACTAGATGACTTGTTGCTGCCACTATTTGGGAACTGATGGCTAAAGAGTTCTCCATGGTGATAGAGAACAGCGTGGTAAAGGCCTTGAACATGCAGCCCAACTGCACAGACTTCACCTGCTGCCCAGCTCCTGACATCATCTCGCAGCTCTGAGGCCCCAGGCCCAGGCACACTCCCTCTACTCTTGTCTCATCTGCCCAGAACTAGGCAGTGCACCTCAGTCAAACCTCGGCTGGGGCCACCCCATCAGAACTTTGCCCAGATTTCTGCAATTAATACCTCTGGTTCATTACATAAATAAAAAGATTATGATCTTGCTGCCAATGTAACTGGCTGTCTTGAGACAAATCCCGACAGAGCAGGATCATCTGTGTTTGAACTCAGTGCCCCATGTGGCTTGGCTCACAGGTGTGGCTAGTGCTGGAATGCCAGGGTCATCCATCTCAAGGGTCGTCCATCTCCACCTGCAGGGCAGTGATGTTTTCCTTGCTCAGCCTTGCATCTCCTTTCCTCTGGACAACACCATATCTAACCATGCACAAGAGTGGGCAGGGGGCCCCGGCAGACCGACCCCAGTACCCTATCCTGGACAGTGAATGGTCCAGGGTTAAGCACATATCCCCAACTTGGACAACTGGAGTCCTTCCTCAGGAATTTGTAACTAGACTCAGGGATAGTATCCTTCATCCTCCAGGGGCATGGATATGAGGTCATAGCTTTGGCAGCCATGCCCTGATGTGAGGAAAAGCTGGGCAGAGGGAATGAAATCAACACGAAGCAGCAGAATGCTGGACCCTGATCTTGTCGGAGGCCCTGGTTCACTCACTCCTGCCCTGCTCAAGGCTCACTCTGTTCAATCTACTCTCAGGAAGCCTTAAGTCACGGGTCCAGAAAGTATCACAAAGGCCAGACCCTGGTAAGTGGGTATGGGAGGGTAGGTAACAGGAATGGGAGACTGAGGAATGAAATGGAAAGAAATCCCAGAAGGAGAGAGTAGAGGGTGGGCTCCAGGGTAGGCTGGAGAGAAAGCCAGAAAGTGGGTCAGGAAAGGATGGGGAGCAGGCATGCATCCAGGCTGGTAGATGGATATGTCCCCTAGGACCAGGGGACAGCGGCAACTGGAAGATGGGAGAGAAGAATATAGTGTGCTTGTGTTCAGAGAGTTGTAGGGGAGATGCCTGGCGTGAGGAGAGACGTGACAGAAGAGCACTGCAATCTCCCTGAGCTGGGGCCAGGGAGCTGCAGCATGGGAGGTGGCAGACTTGTGGCAGACACCCAACAGATGGTCACCACCAAAAGCACAAGGAGAGGACCAGGACCCCCTCCTGCTAGGATCAGAAGCTGACCATGCAGAGGGCACTTCTGACCCCATGGGGGCAGAGACAGACTGGCTCAAAGCAAGTGGAGGCTACAGAGTCCCGCATACCTGTCTGGCATCCTTCCCAGCTGACCCACCTGCAGATTCCAGGGTCATGCCCCTTTAGCTGGAACCTCCACATCAGGGTATATGAGACACCAGGATCACACCTCACTCCCAGCGGTGGAAGCTTAAGGAACACAAAAAGGTTTGCAATAGCTGCTAGGCGTGTCATAAGTAAATTAGAAAGATACAGTTCACACACAACTATGAGGATGTGCAGCTTCAGTGGAAGAGGCCAGCTCCTTCTGGAGAGGTGATGCAGCCCCTCTGTCTCAGCCCTGGCCCCCTGTACAGCCCTGGAAGCCAGGAGGTTGGTGTGGGACACCTTTCCCCCAAGAGAAGAGACAGTACAGGGAAGAAATGGCAGCAACACTGACCATATATCGGGAACTTCTCATACACCAAGTCTCTTCCCAGCATCTGATGTGCATCTCTGTCAGGCTTCACAGCACCCCTACAAGCAGGCACAATCCATTATCCTCATCTCACAGAAGAGAAAACGGAGACACAGAGAAGCTAAGCAACTTGTCTAAGGTCACAGAGAAGAGAAGGGGCAGTTTTCTGGCTCCGTTCTACCTTGCTCCAAGGGTGGAGAAGAAAGCAGGAGGAAGCCAAAGGAACATGACCCAAGACAGTGGGGCTCATAGAGAAACATGGGCTCCACACACAGACCCATAGCCCTAGCCCAGTATTTAATCATGTAGCGGAACTGCCTTATATTTGAGTAAAAACATAATTAAATTCAAGTAAGCTTTATTTCTTAGCTCCAGGCTCTTTCTTTTTTTTTTTTTTTTTTTCCCCGAGACGGAGTCTCACTCTGTCTCCCAGGCTGGAGTGCAGTGGCGCACAATCTCTGCTGACTGCAACCTCCACCTCCCGGGTTCACGCAATTCTCCTGACTCAGCCTCCCGAGTAGTTGGGACTACAGGCGCACGCCACCATGCCCAGCTAATTTTTGCATTTTTAGTAGAGACGGGGTTCCACCATGTTAGCCGGGCTGGTCTTGAACTCCTGACCTCAAGTGATCCACCTGCCTCGGCCTCCCAAAGTGTGGAATTACAGGTGTGAGCCAACGTGCCCGGCCATCCAGGCTATTTCTGAAAATAGTTTTTTACCTATTCCTATGACTGAGGCCGCCCGATGCAAATGAGGACAAACAGCTTGAGACCCGCTCCCTCAGCCGCAAAGCCAGGTCTAGAACACCATTCTCTTGTCTCCTTCTCTGGTGCTCCCTGCTCTCTCCTCAATGGACACAGACTGTCAGGAGGTTGCCATCAGCTACAGCCTAATGTTTTCCCCTTCCCAAGGACCTCTTGGGTCCTCTCCAGCGGTGTGCTGGTCAATGCTTAATGACCAGCTCTTCAGGAAAATAAACAAACACAAAGACCTGACTTGTAGCATTTGCCATTTTTCATAGTGTAAATATTCCTATCATGTCAGTGTCTGGCTTCCAACATGATGTCCCTGAATGGAATCGGGAAGACTCATCCATGTCACTGTTTCTCCCACAGTTGAGGAAGGATTCCAGATTAGCAGGTGTTCACTGCAAGGGCTTGCAAGTCAACCTAACAGTCTCTCTCCAATTTAGTTTGAAGTCAATGAGTTCACAATCCATGGAGGCCCAGAGTGGGAGGGATGCTGAGAGCAGAAGAGAAAAAATCTGTCCAGGAGGGCATCTGCTGCCAAGCAGACCAATGACATTAACATTCTAGTTAATGTCATTAACTAGAAATTTAAATGATTCATTATGAATTCAGGAAAATCTGGTGTCAGGGTTTAGAGCATAGACTCTGGAGCCAGATGGTATGGGTTCAATTTCTAACTACCTGTGAGACTTTGGACATGTAACTTAACCTGTCTGTAAAACGGAGATGGTACCAGCACCAACTCTGTAGTGGTTGTGAGAATTCAATGAGAAATGTGAACACAAAGCTTGCAGCACAGTGCCTGGCACATAATAAGCACTAATAATAACAAATAATAAACACAGATGTTAGTTATGCTGATAACTCAAGTCAGGGTTTTTGGCTGTTATTATCATTTGAGTGGAGGTGGAAAACAAACCATGATCAATAAGTAGTAATGGATCATTGGACTAGAAGCTCCATGAGGGCAAGAACCTCGTCCATCTTGGTCAGTGTAGTAACTCGATACCTAGAACAGTGCCTGACTTATCTGTTAGGTAGGCACTCAAATATTGGTTCCATGTTGAGTATTAGGAGTATGGCATCTAATGGTGCTTAAATACTTGTATTTCTTTAGCTCTTGCTTTAATTGCATTCTCTGTTTAAAATAACTATCAGACCGGGCGCGGTGGCTCAAGCCTGTAATCCCAGCACTTTGGGAGGCCGAGGCGGGCGGATCACAAGGTCAGGAGATCGAGACCACAGTGAAACCCCGTCTCTACTAAAAATACAAAAAATTAGCCGGGCGCGGTGGCGGGCGCCTGTAGTCCCAGCTACTCAGGAGGCTGAGGCAGGAGAATGGCGGGAACCCGGGAGGCGGAGCTTGCAGTGAGCCGAGATCGCGCCACTGCACTCCAGCCTGGGCGACAGAGCGAGACTCCGTCTCAAAAAAAAAAAAAATAAAAAAAAAAAATAAAATAAAATAACTATCAGAAACCCCAGCTAATAGTAATTGTATTTTTAGAGTCCATTTGAGTATAAACAAATACTGACCTTCCCCTTGGTTAACCACACTCATGGAAATCGCTGGTGCAGACTATAATCCAACCACTACGTCCACTCGGTGGTGAGACCATCAACTTGAAGGCAAAGGGCCCACACGAAACCGTTTCTGGTATTAGCCTTACACACTCCACACCCGGAAGCAACAGACATAGCTAATCCCAGCCCAAGCCCTGACCCACCCCACCGTTCCCCGCATCAGGTCCAGAAATGATGATGGAATGTTCTGGACCTGGGTAGGGGTTGAGAGAATTTTTTTCTTTTATTTCTGCTCTGCTCCCTTCCTGTCCGCTCTTCCCCATCGCTCCCCCATGCAGTCCCCTTCTCCCAACCCAGTCCCCTTCCCCACCCTCCAGAGCAACCCTCATCCTCACTCCCCTGTCCCCACCCGCTGCTCCCTCTGCTGGGCCTCGCCTCCCCACTGTCTGCACTCGGAGGCTGGTTTGTTATGGCATGAAAAATGGCTCCGTGGAATAAAGATGTTTCCCCTCTGATGAGCATATTTGCAGAAGGTATGTCAGAGATCCCAGGGCTGGGGTTGGGCGGTCTTTCAAGAAAGTTGTTTTTCCTCCCCCGCACCGCCCCCCAGCTTCTTTCCTTCCCTCCCTTTTTCTCCCTCCCTTCTCTACTCCCTTACCCACCCCCTCCTTCTTTGCTTACTTATTGGAAGAGTAATAAATATTGGGTCGACAGGCCCTTCTCACAGTTACAAAGCCTACCTGTAAGCGAGCTCAATAATTAGCAGTCCTGAAGATGATATATGACTTTCATTACCCTTTGGGACTGGAGACTAAATGAGGACAGAGCTAATTGCCGTGCAAAGCAGTTTGGCATGAATGAGAAAAATGCAGGCCCTGTCTCCTGCCAAAAAAGGGCCCTATTGCTGCTCTGATCTCAAGGCTGGTTTCTGCCGCAGGAGTTCACTCGGTGTCCATAAATCACGGGCTGCTTACAGCTGAAGCTGCCCTGAGTCGTCAGCGAGGTGTACGCTGAGTGACAGATCCCAGCCGACTGCATTAGAACTTTAACTCCCTCCTTTCTTCTCCTCCTCATCCTCTTCCTCCTCCTTTTCACACTGACCTGAAAATTAAACCCAGGCTCCTTGGAGAGGGCGGCAGGAGGCTGGGGTAAGAGTGGGGGCGGTTGGCTTGGGTTGCGTTCCTGATGCCCACGTCCACCTGCTCCCTCCCTGCACGCTGTCTCCCCCCTCGAAACACACAGGAGAAGCGGTTCTCTCCACCCTCAGGAAGAGGCGGGCCTCTCCTGGAATGCTCCAGGCTGAGCTTTTGTCCTTGGTTTGTCATCGAGACAAATGTGGCCTCCCTTCTAGCCTGCATGTCTCTCTCTTCCCCCACCACCCTTGCAGGAAATGCTTCTCTTCTCTCCTAGGAGGAGGACTGACACCAGCCACACGTGTGTCTGCTGCTGACAAACGTGCTCACGCCTTGGAGGGCGGGGCCAGGCAGGACGGAGCCGCCCATGATAGGGGGACACCTCCTGGTAACATTTTCTTCTCTATCCCTCACACCTGCCCTCTTCATCACTCAAGGAGCCCTGCTTCTGAAGGTCCCGAGTGGGAAACGCACTAATGTGCAAAGCACCATCCTTGTCCTCTTCCATCCAATTCCCTGGTGAGTGGGAGAGCTTTCCTCCCTAGGGGCAGACACCAATTTCACACTTGGAGTTGAGCTTCCTGGCTTTTCTGAGGGCAGTCACATAATTAATTCTTAGAATTGCCAAATTATATTTGACACTTAATTTAAAACTCAAGGTTCCATAATGCAAATCTTCTCCTGGCAAGAAGGGTGACATGCACATTGAACATATAGGCAACCTGACAGGTTGGAGGGGCAGTTCTGTGTAACTCCCAGAGAGGGAAGGGAGCTGATTTTATTGAACACCTACTTTATATCCAGTGATTTCCATTGATTAGCTCACTTCCTTCCCACAACCCTATGAGGCAAGTACTGTTACTGCATCCATTGTGCAGACGAGGACACCAAGACCCAACACAACTAATTGACCCAAGGTCATCCTGTTAGGGAAGAGGCCAAGCTGGGATTCATGGTCTTGAGATCTTGAGAGACCCTTACGTCTTTATGCGATTCAATTCCTCCTTCAAGGATGGAAGCAGGAATCCCCCAAAATGGAAGCCTTGGCTGCTCCATCAGGGTGGGACTCAGAGGCAGCCTCCAGCTGCACATCACAGAATGCCTAGCTACAGCAGCTTACATGGTGTAGGTTACTTTTTCCACATAACAAGAAACCCAGGGGCAGGGCCGTCCAGGGCTGGTGCAGCACAATGATGACTTCAAGAACCCAGACTCTTTCTATCTTCCTGCTTCACCATCCTTGCATTCTAACTTCTTGCATTTTGGTTGTAAAGTGACCTCTGCAACACCAAGCATCATATCTTCAGTCCAGGAAGGAAAGAGGTTTTAGAGAAAAGGGATAAAAGGAATTCCCCCACCCAAGGCTTTGTCTTTTTATTTGGGAAGAGGACCGTTGCCTATGATTGGCCAGATCCCATATCTCTCACCTTCTCCCCACCCATACCAGTCATTGGCCAAGGGAATGAGTTGTCATGACTTGTTTAGACCAATCATGATTCATCTCATGGGACTGGGGGAGGGCCCTTGGTCCTTGCCTCCCTAAGATCAAAGAATCTCCAGTTGGTAATTACACAAGTTACATTGTTAACAGGGAAGGAGCAGGATGGCTATTGGATATGCAATGGACAGTGTCTGCCACACCCAGCTCTTATCCTTAGCCACCTCTTGGTCTGATGGAAGAGACCTAAGTCCCAGCTGGAGAATGACTCTGATATTCTGGGTATGTACACAGACAGCTTTGAGGAGTTTTGGAAATTTGGTTCCCTTCTAAGCTACCATTATTTCTGGGGTCTGTCTATTCCAACACCCCTAATGGGGAGGGAGAGAATTTGTGCTTTGTCCTCTGGACCTGGGTCTGTGGATCTATGTGTGAATGGACAGGGGTGATCCCATGATCACTCCCCCATGTGTAAGCTCCAGAGCAAGCTGTGGCCTCTGCTTGGGACAGACAATGTCCTGAGTGGTTAACTCTGGAAGCCAGTGTGCCTGGGTATCAAAATGAGAGCCTGGACATCTTATCCATACGTCTCACACTCCTGCTTTGTAAAATCATTGGGAAGGGGGTTGTTCCCTTCCCACCTCCATCTGCAACTGGGGCGTGACAGGGCATCCCCCAGTTGTGGTACTCATGGGAAAGTTCTTATCACTGTCTCCTTCCTATTCAGCTGGGGGCAGATTCACTTGCTAGGAGGAGCATCTGTCAGGAACCAGGCAGGAACACTCGACTGTAATGTGCTCATCACCTGTCCCGCAGGACTACAAAGGCCATTTCTGGGCTCCTGGCTACCTCGCTCATTTACTCCAAGACTTCTGATACTTTCCAAATCTTCAGGTGTCTCCTCCATGCAGATGGAAAGGATGGTAGGAGGTTTCTGAGTCCTATAGCCCCATCTCAAGCCCCTCCGGGTGCAAACTAGGTCACATCTCTCTTTCCTTGAGGCCCCAGTGGCTTCCCATATTCCTGAGACTAAAACTCAAACTCTTTAACTTGACCTGCAAGTAGAGTGACCGTCATCCCAACAATATTATTAGGAGAGCGACCTTTCAGTTTCAATGCATTCTAGTCTGGATGATAAATTACATGGTCACCTTATCACACAGCAGGCTTTGTGTATCCCCAGCCTCCTCTCCTCCAGCTGGCTCCACTTACCTGCCTTGCTCCAGCCAGGCAGAGCAGTTCCCTGAAGCAGCCACACTCTCGCTCACCACACCACCCTCATGCACACATCACCTCCACCTGGAACACTCTACCCCCGTTTCTTCCCCTTCCTAATTTCTACTCAGCTCTCAGGCCTGGTTTAGATATTCCTTTTTTCAGAGGAGTCTTCCTTTATGGCTCATCAACCTTAAGCTGGGTCCTCCCTCTCTCCTGTCATACAAATGCTTATTTCTCATAGTGCCAAAATCATCAGCTGTATCTGTTTCCTCCATTAGATTGTAAGCACCATGAAGGCAGAGGTCATTGTATCTCCAGAACCTAGCATGGGGCTGTTGCCCCCTAACCGTATGTTTTATGAATGAATAAATGGATGAATGAAAACACAGTGTTTCCCATAAATGCACACACACACATACCCCTCCAAGATACCAAGCCCACCACAATCATCTCCAGGGAGATGTAATTCTGGCCCAATCTGAGCTTCCCAGCAGCAAAACACACCACTCTGAGTTGCTTACCCCATGAAGGGTTCAAACAAGGGCCATCTGTCAGAAAAGGAGATACATGGGCTGAGGAATATACATGGGCTGAAGCCTTGCAGGCTTCTCCATGACTGATTCTCATCCTCCCTCACACAGGACAGCAGCCAGATTGCTTCCAACTCCAGACCACCACATTTAACACCACAGTGAACATCTCTGTATGTGTCCCGTTATGGACTCATGTGAAAATTCCCCTGGAATACAGATATCCCAAGTAGCTGAATTGATGGGCCATTGGGGATATATATACTTAATTGAATTAATCCCCCTTTTATTTCTTTTTTTTTTTTTTTTTTTGGCTTGTACAAGTTCTAGAATTCTTGGACTGATTATCTACCTTGACAAAGGAGGCCTTGAATCAAATTTAATCTGGTAAAAAAATAAATAAATATACCTTTCTTCTTTCCTACAATAGACGAAATGTTTAGTCCCCACAAAATTCATTCTAACCCCTAAGATGATTGTGTTAGAAAGTGGGGACTTTGTGAGATGAACAGGTAATGGTAGAACCCTCGTGCATAGGTTTAGTGCACTTATCAAGGAGACATCGGAGAGCTCTCTTGTGCCTTCTGCCATGTGAGTTATAGTGAGAAGACAGCCATCCACAAGGAATCAGAACCTCATCAGACACCAAATCTGCCAGCACCTTGATCTTAGGTTTCCCAGACTCCAGAACTGTGAGAAATAAATTTCTGTGGTTTATAAGCCACCCTGTCTATGGTATTTTGTTATAGCAGCCCGAAAAGACCAAGACATATGCCAAGCACCATAGGAAATGTGCTACCAGTTATAGACACATCTTCTATGTGCCAATCCACTCTTTAAAAAAAAAGGTCTCAGAATGAGCTGGGCACTATGGAGGTGGGAAATGTCAACCTTTGCCTACTCCCTGGCATAGGGAAGGGGAGCAAGAGAGAAAAAGGAGACAGCTCTGGCAAAGGCTGGATCTTCTGGGTGTATAATAGTTCTCCTGGAGGCCCATGGAAAAACCCATTATGTAGAATGCTAGGTAGTGCTCCTCTAAGACCTGGGCTGGGCTTATAGCAGCAACCAGACCCTTCCCAGTCCAAGAAAGACCCACACTCCAGTCAGGAGCCACAGGCGGGTCTCCAGAGCCTGTGGGATTACTGTGGAAGGGGAGGGGGAGGAAAAAACCCAGATCAGGACCAGCAGACTCAAAACAGAAAAGCCCTTCTGGTTAGGAAGACCCTACACTGTCTCTCTAACTAGAACTACAAAAGGCAATTACTTGGCTCATCGGCAGCCTGTCCACAGCCAGCCCAGGCCTGATGGACTCGAGTGTGGACATCAAGAAATTTAGCAGGATGATCATGTGGGTGGCATGGAGTTTCCCTGAGCAGGAAAAAGGCCGGACTCTGTCCCAGCCACAGACAGCTTCCCAGACTCCAGCAGAATACTTTCAGACATGCAGACAGATGTGCAGACAGACATGCAGGTAGATTTCCAGACAGACATGCAGATAGATGTGCAGGAAGATGTGCAACTGGGGAGGACAACTATGGGCACAGAGATGGACACCCTGTCATATAAAGTGACTCTTCTTCCAGCCACCTCAGTCTCCTGCAGCACAGCTAGCCTCTCAGTTTATCAGTACTATTGCTGAAAGCAAAAGAGCATCGAGGGCCTTCCATTTACATCAAGGCAGAATAACAGACTGATTCCCCTTTCCCTCCCAGCCGAAACAACTAAAACACCACACAAAATATAGGAGATCATTTTCTTATCTTTTTTTTTTTTTTTTTTTAGAGACTGGGTCTCACTGTGTCACCCAGGTCACCCAGGCTGGAGTGCAGTGGCACAATCACGGCTCACTGCAACCTCCGCCTCCGAGGCTCAAGTAATCCTCCCACCTCAGCCTCCTGAGTAACTGGGATTACAGGGGTGTACCACCATGCTCAGCTAGTTTTTTGTATTTTTGTAGAGATAGGGTTTCCTGAATATTCCTTTATCTATTAAGGAAACTGAATTTGCAGTTATAAACTTCCCCACAAAGAAAAGCACACACAGACACACACACACATACATACAGAAAACTCCAGGCCCAGATGACTTCTCTGATGAATTCTACCAAACATTGAAGGAAGAAATGACACCAATTCTACGTACTCTCCCAGAAAATCGAGGA